AGATCTTTACTTTTAAAGAAGAGCCTTGTTTTAAATGCCCCAGTCATCAGCCCTTAATGTTGCAGATCCTTCCTCTGGAGAACACCGTCCATTTTCTGATAGTTTCCAGAGGTTTCCAGAGGTTTGCTTACTGCAGCAGGAGATGTGAGACCACATCCAGTTCTGTGCTTTGCCAGGGACATCTGTGGGATTTGAGACAATTCATTGAGTCTATGGTCCGTGGTATTTTATAACTGGGGATCTGAAAATGAGACTGGTGGGATTATTATTTATATACATTATAACATCAGGTCAGATCCTAGCTGTGGACACCCATCGTGCTAATCACCATACACAAACAGGGTAAGAGGCAGGTTGTACCTCAAAAAGTGTTTCATCTGAGTGTAATGAAACAAAGAAATTAACAGTCAGAATCCAATAGAACTGCTAAGCAGGTATTCTTTTATTGGCAGTGCTGGGGTCACCCTGGGGATTCTCCACCATAAGGGCTCCCAAGAATTAGCAAGGGACATCAGTTTACATACACACAATCATACATATTCATTACATTTCCTAGAAAGGGGTGTCTTATGATAATGAGTTCCCAGAGTTCATTTGCATAATCTGAGCATGCATAGTGAAAATAGGGTGAGGGTCTTCGGTGGTTGGGGGAGGAAGTAAGTAGTCTTCTTCACAGTGTTCACTAGTTGACCCTTTTTGCAGAGCGTGCGCTGTGAAGTAAAAGTCCAGGTGCCTCCTAAGTCAGCAAAATCAGTTTCCCTGTAATAGGGTCTCCATGTCTCTGTGTTAGAGCCCCCCCTTATCTCATTCTAGGAGCTGCCCAAGTGTCCACTGAAGGCCTTGAGTCTGCTATCAGTGATTTACATAGGGAGCCTAACGACTGCTTCAATCTTACCTAAACGGACAAAGGGACCTAAGGAAACAGTTGAGGAGTCAGGAGTCCTTGAGAAACGAATGAAGCAAAACACAAGCAAAGCTTTCATACATCACAGTTTAGTCTTATTAATTGTTAGAAATTCATTTGTTTGAGCCCTTTCATTCGCTTTCAGTAACCTAGGAGACGGCAGCTGGTTGCCTTTGAAGGAGCAGTTTGGCAGCGCTCCTCAGCACAAAAGGCAGGCATGACATGAGGCTTGAGTCCATTACAAGTGCCCATCTTAAAGAGAGTTTGGAAGAAGACTACCAAGATCACACGTTTGTGTATTTGGTGTAAAAAGCCATAGCAGTGCTCAGTTTGATCTATTTGCTTTTAGATGTTGTATACATTTAAATGTGGAACAAAGCAAAACATTAAAAATGTGAACTTCAACGAGGACTTCTCTTTTCATATGAAACTGTCTGGTTTCAACATGCAAAGGCCACAGTGTGCTCACATCCATGGGAGAGGGAGTGATTTGGCAGAGCTGTGCTGGCCTGCGAGTAGCACACTGAGAAGCATGCTCCCGCACTAGTATTTCACCCACCCCCAATGGCTTTTATCCACGCAAAGCTTGTGTGCTGCAAAACCTTGAGTATCAACTGTGTTTGCAAAGCCTGTGTGATAATTAACTTATCCGGAACACATAGGACTTTACTTTGCCTGGTGGCTTTCCAGAGGAAAAAAAATGGAGAAAATTTTCCTTTCTCTTCACTTTTCTGGAGAACGAGTGACAGGGTGTGAAAACTTTTGTTTGAAAAAGCAAATTTGAGGGTGACGAGGCCAGAAAGCCGCCGTCACCCTGCTGAGGGTCACAACTGCTGAGCCCCGGGCACAGCCGCGCTGCCGGGCCCCGCCGCACAGAGACCGGCCCCCGGCC